AGTTACAATGACACGGTGCATGTGCACTCATGTTACTGTATCCATTAATATAAAACTGAGTTTTAGTCTTTACAAAGTGACCTGTCTTGGTTAGTAGACTAGTATTTTGTAAAACACAGTCACCTTTCAATTATTATACATTATATATGTACATAGATTATTGCTATTTAGAAATAAGTTCTTAAACTTATTTTTCTTAAAACATAGAACAGTAAATAAAGAAGTAATGATACAATTATTTCTTCTAGTTATGACCTTCTTACTCAGTTGCTGCTAGGTGGAGGTTGCTAAGCCTATTACAATTTTGCACGTGGAGGATATAAAACGAAATATTTTTTTTGGTTTTATATATATAGTTTAATTACCAAAAAATCATAAATTACTATATCAATACCACAGAATTTCACTATCAAGCTTAGTAACTAAACTGTATTTCAGTCTAAACAAATATGAAATTTTGAGCAGACTAAAGACACAACCTACCTCCTTGAAATCTTAGTTCGAAAGAACAAGATGGCATCCTACCAATTTAAAATGGCTGAGAAAGCCACTAGGAAGGACATTTTGAGCCTTCGATTGGTTATTCATGTCAGATATAGAAGTAAGTGTATATAAGGGAGCATTTCCAAAAATGGAAAGAGGTGGACAGGGGGCCAATGTGTTTGATTCAGTACATGAGCGATATCTTAGCAAATAGAAAAAAAAAGACGTTCTTATTTTATATCATAGCTCGTCAATATCTGTAATTTGAGTTTCTAATTCGTATGAAACTATAGACTTAGTATTCTGACATCACAAACATCTAATTTGAACCAGTGCTGCATTCAACATACTACATGACACACAAAAATCGATGTTTAACTGTTTTTTTTTTAATATTTACTTTGAAACTAAGAAATTGAATAATGTATAACACTAAAATTTGAATTACAATCTACAGTTTGATAACAAACTTATTGACATAAATTCATGAAATAGTAGTTAAATAAAATTTTAAATGAGAGTCAACAAACATGATAACATGGTCTTTGACCCGTGACCAGTTTGTTTTTTTGTTATGAATTTTGCACAAAGCTACACAAGGGCTATCTGCACCAGCCGTCCCTAATTTAGCAGTGTAAGACTAGAGGGAAGGCAGCTTGTCATCACCACCCACTACCAACTTTTGGACTACTCTTTTACCAATGAATAGTGGAATTGACCATCACATTATAACACCCCCACAGCTGAAAGGGTGAGCATGTTTGGGGGTGACAGGGATGACCCATTTGGAAAGGGATAAATTGTGAGTAAAGGTTTAGCAGCACTTTTTTGATTGTTGTTTTTTCTTTTCGAAGAATCATGAGATATTTTTTATTCTTTAAAAGAAGCAAAGATTAAACAATGAACAAACTGCTATGGAACTTTTAATTCACATTTCAGGTATTTGAGTTTTAATTAAATTTTCATGCTCTATTGTGTAAGTTGGCTTTCATAAAGAATGTCTCCAAGCACTAACACAGCAGAACAGTTTATAGTTGGAGAAACAAAAACTTCAACACCCAAAGGATCTCTATTGATAAACTTTCATTCATCACTAGTGTTTAGATCCATACATCTGAGAGTTTATAAAATGTACATATATGTTACAATTAAATTCATACTGATTTTATTTTTAATTGTGTTTTAATTTTTACTTTAACATAAAAAATAATTAAATGAAAAAAAAGCAGTGAACCTAATTTCAATTAATTTAGTGTTAGGATTAATTGTTACTGTCTCAGTTAGTTATTTCTGAAACTGTTGTGAAAGCTTACCTAAGTCTCTAGTTCAGATCTGAATAGGATTATATCATTTGTTTGTTGTCTGTAAGGATTTTTTTCTTTCTTTTTTTGCTTTTCAAAATGATAAACAATTAAACTGTTTTGCCTTGAAAAATCCAAATTATACTTTTTTTACTTGGCCACATTTGATAGCATTTTTTTTTTTAACTTAGAAGAAAATATGAATTTCTTAATGTTTATTTCTAATTTACAAATATTATTGGTTTATATACATAATAGTTCATTCTTCATTGCACATTTTGTTAAGTGGCATAAAAAATCCAATGTCCTATTTCAATGCCTTATTAATCTATCATCACTAATTTAGTACAGATTGAAAACCTCACACAAATTCAAAATGTGAACATTTTACAACTGCCAGTGAGCATTTGACAAATTTTGCATTGCACATTCAACAGGTTTTTTCATAGATAGGGTTTAACAACCTAGATATTATTTACAGCATTAGAAAGCTCAGATTAATTACATTTTTCCATATTTGAGTTTTCAGGTGTCTTTCATAAACATTCTTATTCAATGTTATCATGCATGTAAACAATAAACTTTGCTCCTAGCACTCAACACAGAGTGTGATAGCTATTAACTACGTTTTTTTTATACCTGCTACATTCTTCAGTCCACCAACACCATTTCTAAGTCCAGGTTTTACACTTGTTCTGTTTGACATGTCTGTGTGTATCTTCCTAATCACAGATGTGGGAGTGAAAGCAGCCATTGTAGGACTCAAACCCTGCACAAAATTAATATAGAAATTTTTTTCTTTTAGAATAATCTTAATATTTTGTCTGGACCTGCAAATATGATTTAATACCAAAGGCCATGATCCTATTAAATTATTCAGCCCCTTGCTTAAAGCTAAACAAGAGAAAGCCATTCAAAATTAGTAATAATACAAAAACATGCTTACAAAATCAGTAAATCATTATTCAAATTACTTAAAAAAAACAAAAAAAACATGTCAATGGACACATTTTGCTTTTTTTTTTTTTCTGTTAGCCAATCAGTAGAAACCAAAATATAATACTTTTATTCATTATAGTGTGTTTTTATGTGAACATACATACATATATATACTTGGATATCAGTCTAAATCTAGCATTCATATATGGATTAACTGTAATTTCACTAAAAACCAAAGAAACTACAAGATTTAAGCATTTGCCCCATTTCTTTAAACTATGTTTCGGCGTGTTACTCAGAAATGGTTTAGAAATGAAATTTTAGCAATATGATATTTACTTGGTGTATTTCACAAAGAAAAGTATTCCAACTTTTTTTCATTTCCGTGCAGCTCTGAAGTGTCTCAACTGTAAATAATGCATTTATTTATTTTTTTAGAATTTTTCTACTTATCATAAATTAAATGTTTATATTTGCAAAGAAACTGTTAAGTGTCTGAAGTGTCTCAACTGTAAATAATGCATTTATTGATGTTTTAGAATTTTTCTATTTATCATAAATTAAATGTTTATATTGCAAAGAAACTATTAAGATTTAAAAATAATGAATGTTATCTTAATTTTCAATTAATATTCTTTTTCTTTTGGTAGTTTTATTAGTACACTCCTTCACTGCTACCATTTTATTATGTGACAGCATGTGATCTGAACAATTACTAATGAAATTCACCTTTGAAAATAGCTAAAGCCAAAGGCAGAAAATGATTGGATAGAAGAAACCATAATCTATCTATGTCAATATAAAGTAAATAAAATCGTGGTAGGATTAATTTATGGTCAATCAACATATTAATTACCTGAAGCTCCTGTAAACATGAACAATGAATCCTTACAACACTTAGAAATATTTCTTTTGAATTTTTTGTTATTACTGATAAAGTTTATGTGTTAAATTATATCTGTTTAAAAGCTACAGTAATATTTTTCCATGATGAGATAGTGGGTAAGCTTAGTTAGGTTTAGTGATTATGGTTAAACTATGTGGATGACAAATCCTTTTTTATTGGCCATATTAAAGTTTATCATATAAAACAAAATGGACAAATAAAAGAATTTATTATTTACTAAAAATAAACTACATTTATTAAATATAAATTTATTTCAATCAAGAATAGTGGTGGCAAATATCTTGTTACAACACCTGACAGAGATAATGGTAATGCCATTTTGAAATGTGTTTTATATAACTTGTAGGCAATTAGCAAAATAAAATACTAAGAGAAATAAATATATAAATGAATATCAAACATGTTGAAAATGACTGGAAATATAAAGTGGAACTTTCTGATATAAGCAAAAAGTTGGGGGCATAAGAGTGACACCCTCCAACCCACAAAGTTACACCCAGAGAGCAATTACTGTTTCTTAACTGAGAGACATAGAAATGTATCTACTAAAAGTATTAGTGTACTCCAACTGTTGAAGATCTCAAATTAATAATTGCATAAATCAACTAACATTTATAATGTATCTGTATATACAAGTTATGCAGTATTAATTTCATACAGCCAAAATAATTTTACCAATCAGAAAACCAGAGTAGGTTTTTGTTCCTATTCAGCACTATAAATAATGACCCACCAAACATCATTCAGGTTTATAAGTGTAAATCTGACTCACCTTAGGTGGGGATGAATTGTTCATTGACAGGGAAATGTTGGGAGATTGAGTCCTGAAGAAGAAAACACATTACTAAATAACATGCTGTTATTTCTGTCTCCAAAACTATATAGCCAATTCCAAGTGCTTTCTATAATTTCTGAAAATACTTATCTTTCAATTTCTTTTATGAATATCTTAAAATATTTATAATGTACTAAAGAATTAAAAAAATCATACCAACATTAAAAAAAATTCTCTTAACCCCAAAATCAAGCTTTTACTGTTTTTTCCCCTATTAATATCTTTTACATCTTTTAACGCTTTGACTACAACCTACTTGCATTGTAAGTAGGAATGCAACTCTTGTGAAAGATCTTTTCAAAATTGAAACTAGTTGATGAAATTCTTTTAAATTTGAATTGAAAGGGCCTATAAGTACATAATTTTTGAAAAATAAAATATTTAATTTTGATTTTTTTCTAAAGAAATTTTTCTTGTGACATTTTTCTTTTTGCATGTTGCCTATCCAACATGCAAAGTAATTTTCATTTTATGATTAAATACTTTTATGCATCAGAAAAAGTTCACATGTGAAATCCTTATAATTTTCAGATAGTTATCAAACGTTTTTTAAGAAAAAAAACTTTATATTTTATCTGTTATTTACATAAACAAATATCTGTTTGGGTTTGGTCGATTTGACCAATCCCGTTACCATCACTAAAAAATAGGAAATAAATATAAATAATGCCTTTTTCCTTCTAGAACGACTACAAATTATAACACAAAAATATAAATGTTTAGACTAAATAACTTAAGTCTCATAACATTATACATTTATATATAAATTTATCATTTTTATTATATTGACCTTTCAGACATACCAGGCCAACAATACAGAAGTTACACTGACACGGCGCATGTGCACTCATGTTACTGTATCCAACAATATAAAATGAACCTTTAGTCTCTATAAAGTGACCAGTCTTGGTTGTGTTTTAGTGGACTAGTATTTTGTAAAATACAGTCACAATTCAATTATCATACATTTTATATGTATTTATATTATTATTATTTACAAATAACTTCTTAAACTTATTTTTCTTGAAGCACAGAACAGTAAATAAAGACGTAAAACGAATAATTATCTCTTCTAATTCTGACCTTTGTACTCGGTTGCTGCTTGTCATAGCTTGTTAAGCCTTAAGAAATTTTGCACATGGAGGATGTGAAACAAATGATTTTTTTTTAGGTTTTATATATACATTTGAATAACCAAAAATTATAAATTACTATATTGATACCATAGAATTCCACCATAATTTATCAAGCGTAGTAACTAAGCTGTATTTCAGTCTGAAAAAATATGAAATTTCGAGCAGACTAAAGTCACAACCTACCTCTTTGAAAACTTGGTCTGAAAGAACAAGATGTCATCCTAACAATTTAAAATGGCTGAGAAAGCCACTAGGAGGACATTCTGAGCTTTTGATTAGTTATTCACATCATGTATAGAACTATGTATATACATATAAAGAACCATTTCCAAAAGTGGAAAGATGTGAGCAGGGCCACTGCATTTCATTCAATACATGAGCAATATCTCAGCAAATAGAAAAAACAAGAGGTTCTTATTTTATATTCCAGCTTGTCAATATCGGTAATTTGAATTCGTAATTCATACAAAACTATAGAATTTGTATTTTGTCATCACAAACTCTAATTTGAACCAGTGCTGCATTCAACATACCATGTGACATACAAAAATTGATATTTAGGTGTGTTTTTTAACATTTACTTTAAAATTAAAACATTAAATAATATATAATACTAAAGTCTAAATTATAATCTTTGGTTTGATACCAAACTTAATGACATAAATTCATGAAATAGCAGTTCAATAAAATTGTAAATGCAAGTCCACAAACGTGATGACATGGCCTTTGACCCATGTGGAAAGGGTTAACTGATTAACCTTATCGCCCTGGGTACCCATTACTGTGCATGACACAAGATTTTAGTGTCTACATTCAAAATTTTAGTAAACTAATTTTTGTTTATGTTATATTAATAAAAATAGCATAACATCTTAGCTAATAACCCATATTTTAATAGTATACAAGTTTTAAGTTCTTAATTCTACAAGTAACTATATAAGAAAATCCTGAATTTCCACTAGTGTGACCCACGTGACACATTTTGTCTTAGTATGTTATCCCTATTTTATCCATCACCCCTCGAAAATGTAAGAAATTAAACGTAAAATACTCTCTATAAAATCATTATTGCTCAAACAGTCCATAATTTTTATAGCCTTCAATTTTGCTTGGTTACAGAGTATCAAAGAGAAAATCGTACCCCTCTTATTCACAATTTGTTGATAGTTCTCTCTTACGTTTTATTATATATATTACCTATAACCAATAGAAAGTCAAGGTTTTCATCTATCAAACGGTGTATTGTATAACATTGTGTTCTGAACAGATAACCGTCAATTTCACTCTTAACGACA